TGCCAAACATCATGCTCAAAACCTCAATGACTTGATCTGCAAAGAGGAGTGGGACAAAATCCCTCCTGAGATGTGAGCAAACCTGGTGGCCACAAGAAAAGTCTGATCTCTGTGATTGCCAACAAGGGTTTTGCCACCAAGTACTAAGTCATGTTTTGCAGAGGGGTCGAATACTTATTTCCCTCATTAAAATGCAAATCAATGTATAACATTTTTGATGTGCGTTTTTCTGGATTTCTTTTTTTGTTATTCTGTCTCTCACTGTTCAAATAAATCTACCATTAATATTATAGACTGATCATTTCTATGTCAGTGGGCAAACGTACAAAATCAGCAGGGGATCAAATACTTTTTTTTTTTTTCCTCACTGTGTGTGTGTGTGTATATATATATATATATATATATATATATATATATATATATATATATATATATATATATATATATATATATATATAGTGAGGGAAATAAGTATCGAACACTTCAACATATTTTTCAGTAAAAATATTTCCAATGAGGCTATTTATATGAAATTTTCACCAGACATCAGTATTAACTCAAGAAGTCTAGAAATATAAAGAATTCACAATATTAAAGTCCATAAATAAAGTTAAGTGTAATAACGTGGAAGGACACATGAATTATAAGTATTGAACACGCTAAGAAAAAGCAGTTCTCCAAGGCATGGTAAGGCAAGAAACCAGCTGAAATCCGTAATTATATCCCCTATATGTGCAAATTAATATCAGCTGGGTTAGTAAATTGATGGTCTATAAAAAGGCTTTTTGTTACCAAAGTGTCACACAAGAAACATCTCATGATGGGTAAAAGCAAAGAGCTCTCCCAAGACCTTCGCAAACTTATTGTTGCAAAACATTGATGGAATCAGATACAGACATATTTCAAAACTTCTGAATCTTCCAGTAAGCACCATTGGGCCCATCGACCACAAGTGGAAGCAACATCACTCCATCAAAAACCAGCCACGAACAGGAGCTCCTCACAGGATATCTGACCAGGGAGTCAGAAGAATATTCAGAAGAGTAGCCCAAGAGCCAAGGACCAATCGGAAAGAGCTCCAGAAACACTTGGAGGCAGCAGGTGTCATCGTCACAGAGAAAACAATAGGCAATGCACTCTATTGCTCATGCTCACTCTGCAAGACTCCATTACTAAAGAAAAGGCATGTCAAAGCTTGTTTATAGTTTGCTACAACTCATTTGGACAAGCCTATGAAATACTGGGAGAGTGTAGTCTGGTCAGACGAGAGCAAAATTTTACTTTTTGGCTGTCATACTACACACCATGCTTGGAGAAGAAATGGCACTGCACATCACCCTAAAAACACTACACCAACAGTGAAGTTTGGAGGTGAAGCATCATGGTGTGGGGCTGTTTTTTATCACATGGTACTGGCAGACTTCATATAATTGAAGGAACAATGCATGGAACCATTTACTGGGATATTCTTGAGAAGAATCTGCTGCCATCTACCAGGATGATGAAGGTGAGACGTGGGTGGACTTCCAGCAGGACAACAATCCAAAGCATACAGCAAAGGAAACTCTCAATTGGTTTCAGAGGAAAAAAATCAAGGTGTTAGAATGGCCAAGTCAATCACCTGACTCGAATCCAATTAAACAAGATTTAAAGACAATATGTTTAGAAGAACGGACCAAAATCACATCTGAATACTGCAGCCAATTAATTTCTTCATACAGGAAGCGTCTTGAAGCTGTCATTACAAAGGCTTTTCCACTAAGTATTAAATAAATTTCAGTTAGAGTTAATACTGATGTCTGGTGAAAATTGAATGTGAATAACCTCATAGGAAATATATTTACTGAAACAAATATTGGCATGTCCAATACTTACCGCCCCCCCCCCCTATATATATTATTACTATAATAATCAATCTATGCATACTTATACCAACGCCAGTACATACCACATTCCACATCATGGTCTGTATACCCCGTATACAATATCACTTGCTTCTGTCTGTATTGTATTTTGTGTAATATGTACAGTGCTGTTGTACATTTGTATATGCAGAACATTATTCTTACGTTGTTGTTTATCTTATTCTGTAATTGTATAGCCTGTAACTATCTGTACTCTATTACCATGTTAAGTGTACTTACTGTGCCACATGTACACCTGCAATGCCTGGAACTTGCACCTAAGCTTTTCACATTTCATTTCACTGTGAATCGTTGTAGTGAAAATAAAAGCGAGTTGAATTGAGATGAGTTATGGCTCAACTTTTCTGTAATTGCTTATGTAACAATTGTACTATGTCTGTGAATGTGCTCCTCATTGATTCTGGATGCTTGGCCCCTGAAAATTCTGCTGGCAGATTTAATTCCTCTTCCTCTTCTTCTTCCTCTTCTTCTTCTTCTTCTCCCCTTCTCTTATTATTATTTCACAAATGAAACATCTTACACTATACAGATCATTTGTATATAGCCTTCTCATATTAGTCAAATCAAGCTGGTAAAAAAGATGATTATTTTAAGCATGGCTGGGAATTGATTTTTTTTTTTTTACCCTGAGAGACGTCAGCACTATGACTGTACCGAGCCTATCAGTACGATGACTGAACAGAAGGAGAGAGAGCACCATTCTCACCCAGCATTATAATGATGACTCGCACAGCCACCCCACAAACAAAAATCTGCTAAATGAGAACTGTTGCAGTACATCGGCTTCATACTACGGTTATTTAAGCAGACCCAATGTGTCACAGAGGAATGTTAGCAATGCAAGCAATGGGCAAACAGGAAAATTACTCACCACAGCGAAGATGTGTGTGTGTGTGTGTGTGTGTGTGTTTTATGTTCCATTTGAGTGCACTTCAGGAAATGAGGGGAGAAGACATGACAGGTTTTTTCATTACCTATTCTACAGATGACTAACGCAAAGATAAATTTTGCTGCTGTGCAATTGTATATTTGGTCACTGAATAAAAAATTAATCCCTGAACATGATTTGCAATCGGTACAAAGGACAACAAACATATCTATACTACACATACAGCTGACAGCAACATAAAGACAAAAAAGAAAGAGTGCAAAATGTAAAATATTATCTGAAGGGTAGAATTTTTTTAATGCTTCCATAAATAAAATATCCTCTAATCTAAAACTCTAAGTGCGATCTGCATTTTGAGCAGATAATGCACAATACAATCAAATCAGTTCAGGATACTCACTAGCTTGAGTGATTTACTAATCCAGTTTAGCCTTGGTACATGCACTGAAATGACCTGTATTACGAGCAATGTGATTTTGAATGTATTTGGGTGAGTTGCTGTGTGGGTTACATCAATGGAAAAAGCGTCATCTTTATCCACTCTGCTGCCATAGAAATTCACTTCGCTCTCAAATGGCTTTCACTGATGTGACTACATTTACATGACACAACTCAAACACAGGTAACACGGCCAGGTCTAATAGCTCTAATTAGAGTTCAAAGGTGCTGCAATGATTAGTACAATTCCTGCAAATGTATAAAAAAATTTACACACGCAAGGACATGAAGACAGATGAAGGTGTTAGTGTTAGTTGGTGTTAGTGGTCAGTGCTGTTCTTATGATTTAATATAATAATAATAATAATTAATAAAAATCGAATAAAAAACACTATAGCTTCTTAGAAATAATACATATAAAGATATAGAAATTTACACACACATTTATTTTTCAGGTTTCTGTGATTTAAAAATAATAATAGACCAGGATCAATCTTTTCAGATCTTTCCACCTTTTATCTGACACAGCAACCAATAGAATTCAAGTGAAAAAGAAACAGAAACATTTTTAGAGAAAAAAAGAAAAAAAGTACAATAACCAGGCTGTATAAGTATGTACACCATTTGTGACTGTGCTCAGAATTACCCAAGCACAATCATACACCTGTCATAGGTGAAGTGATTCTGATTAAAATAAAGATCAGCTGTCCGTGAAGGATTTGGCATCTTCTTTGTTTCGTCTGACTGCTGAAGCCATGGTCCATAGAAAGCTTAAAAACATGTACAAGCTTCTTGAAAGATATCGATCAGGAGAGGGGCTATGGCATACGTGGCTAGACAGAAGCTATTTAAAAAAAAATATTTAACAAACAAAAAAACCATCCAATCCCACTTAAATCACCCCAAGCTATGTGCAAAATGTGTTAGGGTCTGATAAGACTTAGGTTGAACTTTTTGGGCATAATTCTAAAAAATATGTCTGGTGCAAAAACAAGACAGCTTATCACCCAACAAACACTATAACCACAGTGAAGCATGCTGGTGGTAGCATCATGCTGTGGGACTGCAGCTATAGGTAAGAGAGAGGGAATATTGGATTGCTGCAAACACCTATTCAACATCCATTTTGGCACAAAAGCTGCATGATTCTGATGAAGAACAATTTCACCTTCCAGCACAACAAAACAATCCAAAGCACTGAGACTGAGTGTTATATTACAAGCAAAATGTGCTTTGATAAAGTATTAGTTAAGTGCTGTGCACACATGTGCAACCCGATTACGGTAAGCTTTCTGCTTTTCTTTTTCCTAGCTGAAATGTTTGTTTTTCTCTTAAATGTGTTGGTTGCTGTATCACATTAAAGGTGGGAAAGAAAATCTGCTATGATTACAAAAGCCTGCAATTTTAGGGGTGTGTGAACCTTGTATGTTGTGAGTTGACTTATCAGGTTTTCTATTTAAGATATATATATATATTTTTTTTTAGATTCTCAGGACTAATGGAATTGAGTGTGGGTGCCAGCAGCATATAGAGGATGAACAAAATAAATGCTGTATGGCAACAGGCAATCAGGATAGTGCTCAGACGTCAATAAACACTACAAAACTCTGGGCAAAAATGATGAAAGATTTAAAGCAGCATCTCTAAATAAAAAAAAGAAAACATCTATATATTTTGAGCTTCAAATTTGACTGGCCAGAGATTTTGGAAATCACTTGTATGTAAAGCTAAAAAATAAATCTTTGTAGGGTAGTGCTAGCTCAGTGGTTAAAACCTTGGACTTCTGATTAAAAGGTCATGAGTTCAAATCACAGTACCAACAATATGCCTCTGCTGGAATACTGGCTGGAGCAACAAGGGGGGAAAATAGCATTAAGAGTTTTCTTTTACCTCTTTAGGTTTTCAGAAATCCAAATGATGCCTTAAATCCAGAATGTTCATTGCCAGCTGTGAAACATGGCAGTTGGTATATAATGATGTTGGAAGTCATGTTGCCAGAGTTATTAAGACTGGTAATTATTCTGCATGGTTGTGTAATAGCCGCATATTATGGTGGACTATATGGCAGATAATGTGAACACTGTTCTCTAATGATTTCTGAATATTCCATCAGGATAACGCTTGCAGGATAACCATACAAAGTATTGTGTGGCACAGAAAAATTTCTCACTTAAACAGTAGTTGCTAGAAGTGTAAACCTCATCTTCAGGCAATCTGCTATGATATGACACAATTTTGGTTCACAAGGCTACAATTTGTTATTTGATGATATGGCTGAATCTGCTATGATATGATACAATTTCTATTCAAAATGCAATATCCTCCAAGCACTATGTGTCCAACGTTGCTAAGAATCTGATGTAGGCCTAGCGTTAATTATATGAATGATGATGATAAAGGAGCACTATTTTACAAGGAAATCACCTTGCTAGAATATTTACATATCCATTTAAAAATATAGATTATTTTTTGACAATAATCCATTGCAATTGATAATCAATTTATAATGATCTACCTTTTATTAAGAAGTTATATTATATGAATGTCTTCATGTCCAACCCCTCCCTGTGTACATTCTTGTGAGTGCTCGGCTGCTATTGTGTGTTTCTCTGTGCTGTTATCTTCCTTATCAGTCTGCCATGTTGCTTGTAAATTATGGTTCTACAGTTTGTCCCTCCATCTGTTGTAGTTATCAGTCAGTATCACTATTCTGCTACTGGTTATTTGCCCAGTGCAGTTCATAAACAACTGGACAGTAACACATTTTTTATTTTTATTTTGATGCAGCACATTGGATTATAACAAAAACAATAACTATGAGGTCAATGTGTACAACAGCAACTTAATTTTAGGAAATTACAAACCCTTTTATATAATGGATCCTAGGTGTTGAATTTCAATTCCACAAGCTGCCAATGCTAAAAAGACTTTTTAACAAGATGAAAAAAGCAATGATTACTCAAAAATGAATATTAAAGATTAATGAATTTAATTATATTGAAATATATTTATTTTGTTTTATTTATGTATCTGTATTTATTTATTTGATATATATTTAACACTTTATATATTAACTAACTTTTATCAGTTTATCTGTTTTACTTTTATCAGAGTTTTTAGAATTTTTTTTTCCAGTGTAGTTTATGTTATTTTATAATGTGATTTTTATTTATTTTTCACTAGGGATGCATACTGGTATCAGGTATCGACATGTACTGGAAACAGAGCCCCTATACTAATAACCGAAACTGATGTGTTGTTGCCCTAATGAACAAATAACATAAAATGACAGCAATCAGCACATATTTCCCATGATTTATGTTCCCAAAGCAACATAAAATATTTCAAACATAAGATTCAACATGAGGAGTTCCTTGCTAGCTGCACACAGCAGAAGCCAACAATACAGAGAATGCTAGGTGAGTGAAAATAACAGCTCAGTTATGTTCTTGACGATAGGTCGCTATAAATCACTGCTAATGAGGGACTACGATGAAATGGAAAAAAAAAAAAACATACACAGTACCAAATTTACTGTAAATCTTAGAGCAATTTACAGGCCACAGGTTTGATAATAAAGTACTGTAAGATTTACATTAAAAAAGCATATTTACAGTAAAGTACTGTTATATCTTGCATAGTATTAGATAACACAGTCCACATTTGCTAATTTGGTTGATGCAGGATATAGCTGAGTGGAAGGTCTTTGACTAGATGATTTAAAGCTTCAGCCAAATGAGCAAATGTTGAATATGTGCATTATATAATTGCATTGTATTTTTGTGTGCATTATATAATTGCATTGTAGTTAAAATTTATTTTAACTAATTTATTTATTTTTACAGTATTTTATTTTGTCAACTCTGTTGTCAGTAAATTACCGCAAAATTCAGTTGTTTTCAACAAAAGCCACATTTCTCCAAGTCCACCCTGCTCCATCCAAAGTAGCTAATTTAGCCAGGTAACAGAATTTACTTAAAATCAACTCACTAATGTAATAAACACAACTATTATCTAAATGCATCTAAGTGTGTGTTTTCATTGGCACTATTAAAACCAGGGAAACATAAACAGAGCTAAATATAATGTTTTGCAACCTGTAGCAGCATAGCAGCTCATTTTACCCCAACATGGAGAAACTAAATAAAGCACAAACCTAGTGGTTTTTCATTGTTCCACTGTCTCATGTCACATTTTTAGGCAGATCACTACATACAAATCAGACTTAATCATGGCAAGAGCTCTGGTGCAAGTCAGACTTTTTTCCTTGGTTTTTCAGTTTGCTTTATATCCAACCCATTGTATTTGCACACTCTCTCTATGACAGTTGTAATTAATACACAGGAGAGTTACTGTAATTTCCGGACTATAAGCCGCTACTCTTTTCACACGCTTTGAACACTGCGGCTTAAACATTGATGCGGCTAATTTATGGATTTTTATGGGCTAACGAGTTTCATGCCGCCAAAACATTTAGCCTCGTCACATCGGACCAATGAAATTACCCAACAGGTCACAGTGGACCAATGAAACTGTTCGAATTAAATCTAACGAGCTCACACTACATTCTTCAGATCAGTTGTTTTGCGCTTCATGCACACCCCCTAATCATGGAAAACACACGCAGAAATGCATATTGGTTGACGTCATGTCTCTGCCCCGTCTTGTCATGTGTTGTCGAGTCACGTGTGTATTGGTATTGCCTGCAGCTGTTAGCAGTTTGGCTGTTGTGTTTATATACCGGGAGCCATGACACACACAACGCGGGTAATTAGATATAGAGTTAGAATTAGATAGCGAATATGGTTAGAGTCTTTGTTCATGTCTGAGTTCATGTCAAGGCTAGTTAGCTTATAGCCTATTAGCTTGTAGCATAGCTTATAGCCTAGTAGCGGATAGTATAGCTCAGAGTTGTATAGACTTAGTTAGAATATAGATGTAGAAGTGGTTTATAGAGTATAGATATAGAGTCTTTGTTTCATGTCATAGTTAATTTTTAGGTTAGTTGGTTTAGTTAGCTTAGTTCATTGAGTTGGTCATGTTTTGTTTCTTGTATCTCGAGTCTTCTCTCCTCTGTTTCAATAAAAGGTCTCGTCCTAACTGCATTTGCATCTGTCCTGTTTCGTTTACGTCACGAATCGTGACAGTTAAAACGTGGACACCTGCGGCTTATAGACAAGTGCGGCCTATACATGTACAAAATTGTTTTTCTTTTTAAAATTAGCGGGCCTTCTGTTCAGATGCGCTCAATAGTCTGAGAATTACGGTAGATAAACATTTCTGAGAGGAGCATGGTGGTCAGTGGGGATTCAGGTTGCTCTCAAACTATACTTATCCTATTAATTACTAATCACTAAACATTAAACATGATCTCTCTTTCAAAACAAAGACACTGGCAGAAATGAAAACGCACACAATCATTTATTAGTATCGGTATTATTGAGTACCAGAAAATGTGTACTCATTGTGGAAAAAAAAAATGTATCCTTGCATCCCTATGTTTATTTTAAAAAAAGGATTAATTAGGGTTTTTTTTTTTTTTAATTTTATTTATTTTTATTTTTTTTACATTTTGGTTTTAGTCTTAGTTTCAGTCCAATAATCCAATAACTGTTTTTCACAGATGGGACTAAATAAACATGATCAACTGAAACATAGATAACAAGACCATGTTTAATGCCTCCAAATTAACACACAAATGCTGCAATTAATTTGAACAATCCATAATTGCAAATTTCCAAATTAATAAATATGCAATAAAATGCTCTCACGTTTTAGAAATCATACATATTTTGTGGATCGAACAGTCAAGTTGCACCATTTTAAGGGGCTCAAGGCTGATGAAAGTGAGTGGAGGTTACAGCAGCAGATTGTAGATGAACCAAATAAGTGTCATATGATGTCATATAAATGCAAAAGGCAATTAGTGCTCAGAAATCACAAAACACAATCAAATGAATTTAGTATCTGTTACTAAATCATAAATATGTCTACGTATTGTGAGCCTCAAATATCTGAGTCATGGTTGGGCTTTGATTTTCCTGCGGTGATCTCATGGCAATATTTAGGGTCCTCATGTGGGGCCATCTTCGCCAGCAGTGAATGATTCTCAGGTGAAGGAAGCTCCAAACATAGAGAAGTAGAGAATCAGGATGTGCAAAGCTGGTCCAGAGTGCAGAAAGTATTAGGGTCAGGTACTAGCATCTCATAAGGTAGCAGGAGTAAGATGTGTTACACAGACAGACAGAGGGAGGGAAAGAGAAAAATGGGTTGTGAGAGAATTGAGCGTTGGGGTAGGGGCTGTTTTCCTGTAGTGGTGTAAGAGCATGTACATTGTGAGCAGAATGCAAGCAGGGACTTTTAGGGACTAGAAAGAAGCTATGACAGTGTAACTACACTGTCACTTACACTCATGCCAACCAAGACGGCCAGGAACCTTGGGGTGATTCTTGATGAGGGCTTGACCTTTACAGACCACATCTCAGCAACTGCAAGGTCCTGTAGGTTCATCCTGTACAACATCAAGAAAATCCGACCATTCCTCACCAAACAGGCTACACAGATACTAGTCCAGGATCTTGTCATCTCTAAACTGGACTACTGCAACTCACTGCTTTCAGGCCTACCAGCCAGCTCCATCAAACCCCTTCAAATGATTCAGAATGCTGCAGCGCGCCTTGTCTTCAACCAGCCCAAGACTACTCATGTCACACCCCTCTTCATCTCCCTCCACTGGCTTCCTGTAGCTGCCCGCATCAAGTTCAAGGCCTTGATGCTCACCTACAAGACCTTGTCAGGAACAGCACCCTCCTACCTCAA